TGGATGGTGATGACTAGCTGCCTTCCCTCTAGTCTTACACTGCTAAATTAGGGACGGCTAGCGCAGACAGCCCTCGTGTAGCGTTGCGTAAAATCCGTAACAAACAAACAATAATTCTGTGACTTATAACATGGGGTGTGAATATATTAGAAACAGCCTGGAGACTGTTGTACACCATTACAATGTAACTCAATAATAGACGTGAACATACCAAAAATAGTTTAGTGTTTTAAAACCATTAAACACACACCAAAATTTCTCTATGTTTATTTTGAAATACCTAACGAAAACTAGCATTTGTTATTACTGTAATTTTTTATTGACTAAAGGTGTGCCACATTACTTTAGTGAATTAAAAGTGTTGCTTTTATGTCTAGAAATGTGATAGTCAACATGCAGAAACAAATAAATTGCAGATGTATCTTGATTATTCAACTCCTGACGTCATGCTACTGCGCTTATATCTAATCGTTTTATTAGGCAGAGCAAAACACTGAAACAGTTGCCCTGACATTATCTAATCTCCTAATCAAATTATGTTCTGGCTCCTGTTTGAGAAATTGACAGTAGATATACTAGGCAAAGCAAAAAAAAAAAGAGAGACAGAGATAAGACTCACAGATAACTTGGTTCACCCAGACTTCTTGAATTGCTTCTTCGGTGTTATACCTAGTTGCAGTTTGGGGTGAGTTCACCGGTTGCGATATGCTACACGAGTAGAGCTAAGATCCAATGCAAGTATAGACAGACGCGCGTGCACACAGAAACAGAGTTGAGACTCGAAGTAATATACTGTAAACACAGACGTAAACTTGTTGAAGTCTAAAGAGTGTGTATTCTGTAAAAGTATCCGACAGAAGGTTTAAATCTATAAAAAAAAAGGTTTTATGTAGGCCATACACAAAGGGTCGGACTCTATTCAGAAGAGTTTTGAAAAAAGAAATCTGGAGCCAAGTATTATGAAATAGTTTGCAAACAAAGAAACAGATCGAGAACCTAGAGTCAACTGCCACAGTTCGGAATCTATTAGGAGGTATCCTGTAAACAAAAGCAAAAATCGAGAACTTAGAGCAAACTACCACAGTTCGGAGTCTATTAAGAGGTATCCTGTAAACAAAGGCAAAAATCGAGAACCTAGAGCCAACTGCCACAGTTCGGAGTCTATTAAGAGGTATCCTGTAAACAAAGGCAAAAATCGAGAACCTAGAGCCAACTGCCACAGTTCGGAGTCTATTAAGAGGTATCCTGTAAACAAAGGCAAAAATCGAGAACCTAGAGCCAACTGCCACAGTTCGAAGTCAATAGTAGGTATTCTGTAAACAAACATAAAGATCTGGAAGCTAGAAGGAGATGTTTAAAAGTTCGGAATTGGCACCATAGTATTTTTGTAACCCATATATGAAAGATCGCAGGCTATAGCAAGATGTTTTATAACCCTCACATGCATACTGTGAAACTATATGGATGTATTGTATAACCCACATCAACAGTAAGAATCTTTAGGTGTTACGACCCAAATGTCCTGATTGGGGAAGTACAGGTACATGAAAGTTCAAAACCTAAAATTCAACATTCAGTTACCCACACGTACAAGGGTCGGGATAATCCGTTCACTAAAAAGCTATGTTCTCCAACGCATCACAACGGGTCAGAGATATAAAAAACAAACAAGAGACACTCCGTAACCCACACATAAAGGATCAGAGACTATCGATACTCCGTAGCCTACACATAATAGGTCAAATATTATAAGGGGATATTCTGTAACACACACAAAAATGGTTGGATACTATATTGAGATGATCTACGACATACACACACATAAGCAAATATTTCCATACAAATGTTTAAAGCCTGTAAGAATGCCAACTGGTAGGAGACTATGGATGGACAGCATTTTGTGTGACCCACACCTCCAGGTTCCAGTATTATATGATGGGATATTCTGTAACTCATCCCTACCCACAAGTATTATAGAAAGTATTCTATAATTTATACTTCCATATTAGGAGAAATTATATGTGAATTTTATGACCCAGTTAGGAGACTTTAGAGTGGTATTCTGTAACAGACACACGACTCATAGTTCAAAGAAACACATTTTGTCATTTTCTCAGACCGTTGAGTCAGTTTTGAATCATGTTAAATTTAGAATCGGATAATACTATTATGCTTTTAATAAATATTAGTTCTTAAATGTGGTAACTCTGTGTTGAAAATATATGTAAAAATAGCCAAACCCTTGTGGACGATTTGAAAATTACTGTACTTTGATCAAAATGGAAGCTTATGTTGGCATAGTAGTTTTCGTAAGATAATCCATCTTTTTGTTTGAAGGTGAGTAGACTAAAATTATTTTTTTAAATGATGAGGTTCTAAACTTGCAAAATCAATATATTTTTTAATGAGGTCTGGATTTCCTTATTGAAAAGTAATGTGAAACATAAAAGTATCACTGGGTTAAGATAGTCACTAAAGTCATTGAAAACATTAAATTTATAGATATAAAATATATATATATATATATATATCGCTATTACTTCACAGAATGCATTCGTCCATTGTATAAAGTTTCTACAAAAAAAAGGGAATGTTTATTTATTTGTTTGTTGTTAAGTATAAAGCTACAAAATGGACTATTTGTTTCTACCACGGGTATCAAAACCCGATTTTTTAGCGTTACAAGTCTTCAGGCTTATCCCTGAGCTACTGATGGGTAGAAAAAAAAAGAAATTAAACAATAATATCATCAGAAAGTATTGATGAAATACCTATTACGACACCATTTGGATCTAGTTCATTTGATAATCAAGAACTTACTGCGGCACACTTTGGATCTAGTTCATCTGATGATGAAGTACTTGCTGCGGCACCATTGAAATTTAATTCATCTGATGATGAAGTATCTGCTGTGGCATAAGTTCACAGAACACGGAAAACAAACAGAAACTTGGTTTGAAGTTCAAATAAAAAGATATTGATCTTGTCAACACCGCTTGGGCCGGTACAGAAATAGAAACGGATGAAATCTGTACACCACATCAATATTTCATACAGTTTTTAATGGTCATCTCATCTCAAACCTATGTGAACAGTTTAAATAAAACGGGTAATAGACTTTAGTTACACAACAACATCTGAAATTGAATAAATTCTGGGCATTCATATTCTATCATATATTATATAGATGCCATGATATAAACTTAAATCAAAAGAACACAGACAATTTTCAATAATTGCAGATTATTCCCAGAAATCAGTTTGATAAGCTAAGAAATTATTTTCATGCAAATAATAATTTTGATATCATCCAGAAATGGGAACCAGGATAACCCACTTTACAAATTACGTCCAATCATTGAATCTGTACGAAAAAACTTGAATACATTACCAGTGCAAGTTTGTTTGTTTTTTGTTCTGAATTTCGCGCAAAGCTACACGAGAGCTATCTGCGCTAGCCGTCCCTAATTTAGCAGTGTAAGACTAGAGGGAAAGCAGCTAGTCATCACCACCCACCGCCAACTCGTAAGCTACTCTTTTACCAACAAATAGTGGGATTGACCGTGACTTTATAACGCCCCCACGGCTGAAAGGGCGAGCATGTGTGAAGGGGATTCGATCCAGTGCAAGAGAAATATTCTATTGATGAAATGATCTTACCAATCAAAGAAAGATCCGATATGAAACAATATAATAAAAGCAAACCACATAAATGAGGTTTTAAAGTTTTTGTACTTGCTATTGCAAATATAATTATTTATGACTTTGAAATGTACAATGGAAAAGGTACAATAGCAATAAAAAATGAATATCTTAGAATTAGTGTGAATTTGATTCTGAGATTGATAGAGAATTTACAAAAATATCAAATTCTTTTGAGATCATTGGTTCAGTTCTTATAAGTTGATAATACCTCTGAAAAAACGAGAATTTTTGGTTGCTGGAACTGTTAAGACCAAATAGGGTTGTATACTGCAAACTAATGTCAGGAAAACATTTAAAGAAAAGGCATGGGTCATTTGATTACCAGATAGAAGAAAAATCAAATACAACTTTTTTTATAAATGGTATGACAACACATCAGTGCATCTGTTATCCTCGTTTGTTAGCTGCAAACTTGAGAAAAAAAGTGCAGCAATGACAATATAACATCCAATGTCCAGCTATAGTCCAGATTTATAACAAATTAATGTTTGTGTATGGATTATTCAAATCTCCATGATATGTTGTTCGAGTTTTATCGTGCGAGTTTCAAATCTAGGCTTATTATATGATAATACTTTTCTTCTCATAGGCATGTGTTGTTTCAATGCTTGGCTGTTTCATAAGTTACGCTGCCAAATGAAAAAAGAAATACTACAATCACTTATGGATTTCTGATATGAAATCGCCCACAGTCCTTTGGTGAGATCAAAATGGGAAACAATGGAGTGAAAAGAGGAAGACTATTATAATTTGAAATTGTGCTGCATTGTTGCAGAAAAAGTATACCAAAATTAGTTGTTGTCATTAGATACGATAGTACAGACAATGGCCACAGTGTGCAGTCGGCAAAAATTAGTGTTTGTTTTTAATTTCGCGCAAAGTTACACGAGGGCTATCTACGCTAGCCGTCCCTAATTTAGCAGTGTGAGACTAGAGGTAAGGAAGCTAGTCATCACCACCCACCGCCAACTTTTGGGCTACTCTTTTATCAACGATTTATCGTAACATTATAACGCCACCACGGCTGAAAGGACGAGCATGTTCGGTGTGATGGGGATTTGAGCCGCAGATTGCAAGTCGAGCGCCATAACCAGGCCAAAATTAGTGATGCAAAGGTAAATGATAACATATCATTTTAATGAATATTTAATTTTTGATTCGTTGATCTGCAAGGAATACATAATAGATATTTAACAATTGGAAATTAATGAACTAAAAATGTATCATTTTGTAAAAAAGAAAAAAAATTCAGATGAGATTTACAATGAATTTGGTTAAAATTTGTTTCTAATTTCAGGGCTCCCCTATAATTCACAAAAGCTTCACTATACTGACCAGGCTCTTCCATTATTTCTATGGTTATCCCAAAGAAATCCGTACCCAAAAACAAGTCCCATAAGCAATATTCCCTTCAATTTTTTCACGTGCTCCAGTATCAAGGCAATTTTGGGAGAGGGTATTTTTGAGAATCGGCCCTATTGGATCATCAGATCGCTTTGCAGTGCTACCATTTGGTTATTTGGGCTTTAGGCCTATCGATTTCCAGGATCATTAAGGCCGTCAACGGGGCTGCAATAATGAAGTGCGTGTCACTTGATTGGTTGTTGTGCTGCCGCTCAGCCTAGAGGGAACACTGCCCGTAAGGGCACTCACCCATGGTACCTGTGCACGTGTGCCACGATTGGTACTTCTCGTGAGTAGAAGTGTGAACACTATTTCAGATATAGTGCTCCTGGGATCCCGAGGGGTTTCAAAAGCACAAAATTCGATGCCAGATTCGGTTTCAGCGACTTTGAAAACCTGCTCTTTGCTCCTCTTCATACTTGGATGACCTTCCGGGAGCGTTTTAGTCCCCCTTGGCAGTAAGGCTAAACCATATAAATAAGAAAGTCCCCCGAGTTCGCTTGCAAGGTTTGGTCACGATAGCTCAAGAAACGTTGGAGACATTCGCGGAAAACAAATTCACAAAGACACAACGGGAACTAAAACAGAATGTTGACAAAAATGCATTTGTTATTACCAGATAGTTTGTTTATGTTTAATTATTCAACCACTTTCTTCTCTGTCTTTTTTGGCCATAAATACACACACGTGTGTGTTAAAAAATACCAAAAGAATATTATATTAACATTTATTCACAACTTAAAACTTCTTACACATAGACACAAATTTTCAACTCTTTCGAGTGTACAAAGAATAAAAGATATTTGGTAGTAATAGACATTTATTTTGCTTTATGTTTTAAGCCAAGTAGGTAATATATGTGTTAAAGTGCCAAAAAATATTCATTAATTAAGATTTATTCACCACCTAAAACTTTTTAAACACTGACTCTATAACATTAGTAATCTTAGGCCTATTTGTAGTCTAATTAGGCCTAACACATAAACGTAACGTAAGGTTAAACTCAAACACTACTTGGTAAACTTTATTTTGTTTTTGGCTACAACACAATGTGACAAAACTTCTGAATTAAACTACTTTGCTGTTAATATCACCGAAGTTATAAAAAATTAAGAATAAAAAACAAACCTGCTAACAAATAAACATGAATATTGAGCATTCAATATAAACACCATAGTTGGCCTAAGAACAATCAGGTGATAGTGTTGTTGCTAAGCGACAGGTATATTGTTGAGCATTACCAAAAATAAGCCTTTTATAGTTAGTGATTATAGTGGTCTTAAAATGTGATTTTGTAAACATTTGTTCGTTCTTTTTCATTATTTTATACTTTCGTACTTTTGGACGCATATTATTATTATTTTCTATTTTTAACTACAACACTGAAAAGTAAAATAAATAAATAAAATAATTATACGATAAATCCGCTACCATAAGAATATAATGATGTGTACATAAACACATCGTGGTCACAAGTAAATAGACACCACCTTTTCAGAAAAAATTAAATTTTTCAGTTATATTCACATGAATTAATATATTTATAATTTAATTAATATCTAGTAGATCTTCCTTTCGCTTCGTAGAGTTCGTTGATCCTTTGGGGCATCGTGAGAATCATCTCGTCAATTTTAGATTGTGGGATTTTCGCCCACACTTGCTTCTGAACTTGGAGTAGATCTCTCTTCGAAGTTGGTTTTTTGGTTGTTTCTTGACTTGCCGGTCGAGTATGGCCCAGAGGTTTTCGATGGGGTTCATGTCAGGAGATTGGCTCGGCCAGGGCAACTTCTGGATACCATTTTCTTCCTGCCACTTTTGGGTGTTTCTAGCAGTCTGACACGGTGCTCCATCTTCCTGGAACAACGCTGTGTTCTTGTCCACAAAACCCGAGGAATAAAGTGGCAAGAGTCCTTCCTCCAATATTTCGACGTATTTCGCAAAATTTATGTTGCCAACGCACTCCATTAAGCTCGATCTCCCACCAACCCAAACAGCTACCCAAACCATCACCCTGAAACCACCATGCTTCACAGGTGTCTGCAATCTGTTGAGTCAAAACTCTTGGTGAGGCATTCTCCAGATCCATATCATTCCACTGTCCGAAAATTGATTCGTCTGAGAACAATAC